CCTGTCCGCGGCCAAAGACTCCGGGGCGGTGGTGACGTGCGTCGTCATCGTGCTCTCCGTCTTGGTCTGCTGCCTGCCCCTGGGCATCTCCTTGGTGCAGGACGTGCTGTCCAGCAGCGGTGGCTTTGTGCTCTACCAGTTCGAGCTGTGTGGATTTACCCTTATTTTTTTCAAATCTGGATTAAATCCCTTTATATATTCCCGAAACAGTGCTGGGCTTCGGAGACGCGTCCTCTGGTGCCTGCAGTACGAAGCCCTCGTCTTTTTCTGCTGCAAGCAGAAGACGAGGCTTCGCGCCATGGGTAAGGGCAGCCTGGAAGTCAACAGGAACAAGTCCTCCCACCATGAGACCAATTCTGCGTACGTGTTGTCTCCCAAACCCCAGAAAAAGTTTGTGGACCAAGCCTGTGGTCCCAGTCACTCCAAGGAAAGCGTGCTGAGTCCCAAGGCTTCCCTCGGGCATCAGCACTACGCACAGAGCAGCTCCACCCCCATGAACACCCGAATCGAGCCCTATTACAGTATCTATAACAGCAGCCCCTCCCAGGAAGCGAGCACCCCAAACAGCTTACAGCCGGTCAACTCGACTTTTGGCTTTGCCAAATCCTACATTGCCATGCACTACCGCACCACCAACGACGTGGCGCGAGACTGCGACAGCGCTTCGGCCAAGCAGATCCCGGTGCCCTCGGTGTAACTGTAGGGCAGGGCTCTGGTCGAGCTGATCCCGTGGATCGTCCCACCCCTCTTTTCTTTTGTGAATGATTATTCCAGACTCAGTGATGCTGCACTGCTGCCAATTAAGAAAAACGCCACTGGTGTTAATATCCAGCTGTTTGCTGGATACTGGGATACAGCGAACACTGGGATATCGCTTCTGCGATGCTTTCTTGAATCCTGTGACAAGTCAAGAAGGAGCGGGATTTTAGATTTGTACTTGGAACTGTTGTCTGAGGATGGTTTTGTTGCTAAATTTTACTGCTGGATGAGTAAAAAAGAACTAAGTGCCATAACTACGCGATTTGTTACATCTCGAGGCAGACCTTCCCGGAGAACGATCCGAGGCCGCGCCACTATTGCCTGTGTAGTTCCATACTTGCTGAATTTTCAAGGAGAGCGAATCGGGAGGATGCTCGGTATGATGATAACTGGAGTTCAAACTCATCCCCTTGCTCGAGGTCGAAAGAATGGATGGTGTTTTGTTGTAGCAAGTGTCAGCAATAACAAAAACCCTTCCTACTGGCAGGGTGAAATCCTGGTTCTGTTGAGGTCAATGGCAAAATTTCCATGGACTTCAACGGACGTTCAGGATTTCGGTCTCAGTTTCCTGAAGCATGAAGGACGAAGCGTTTGAGGAACAGCGTTGTCTTGCCACTAGGAAGGACCCTTGCAAAGTGTCGTGGCACTGCCATAAACCCCTGCAGTATACATGAGTTGCCGCTGGACGTGTATTGTGAGGATTGGTGGCGTTGTAGATCCCAAAATAATGTATTTGGAGAAATACTTTATATCTGATAGAAATAAGCGTGCAATACGTAATTAAAGGGTTTACTTGAGGATAAAGGTGGCTACTGCGACGTTGCAGTGCTGACACAGTATTAGTAACGCAGTCACCCTTTCGCCTTTCCGCTTCCATGGATTCGAGCAGAGCCTTAGTATCTCCGAAATAACCGTGCCGCAGGCTTTTGGTGCCTCGTCGTAGGAAAACGCCACGTCTTTAGCGAACTGACAGCAAGGGAGAGGCGATTTGTTATTTTTAGAAGCAAATCCCCTTCCCGTCCTTGCCGTGTGTGAGTTGTCGTTGGTTTCGGCTGTTGGTTAACCCCACTATTTTCAAGGTTTTCCCGGAAGGCTGCTACGTTACAAACACTGTTGTTTAACACTGAATTTTAACTCATTTTGAATAACTCAAGACAGCTTTCTTGCAATAAAATGGATGCAAACGACTTTCTAATATGAATGTAAAATTGAAATTATTTCGTGGATCACGGAATGTTTTGGGTTGGAAGGGACCTTAAAGCCCCCCCAGCCCCCCCCCCCTGCCGTGGGCAGGGACACCTTCCATGAGACCAGGTTGCTCCAAGCCTCATTCTCTCTGCCTGCCAATAGTTTTTTCTGTTGACGAATAACATGGTTCTTTCTAACGTAATTATAAAAGATAACGAAACGCTCAGTCTTGTTTGGGTTTTCTGCCTTTGCCTTTCTCTTTAGTACAAAGAGGGAGGGAAAAACGATGTGAGATCCTTTCATTTTGTCTCAAACTGCACGTTCTTAGCAGCAATTACTCCTTCAGAGGGAAGGAGTGTAGGGCAGGACCCCAAAAGTAGGTGCAAGATGGGGTCCCCCATCTACTTTAAGGGATGTGAAGATGGGCGTTAGGACTGGTTGTAGCATTAAGCGGGTTTTGGGTTTGCTGCGTGGACGTACGGCTCCTGCTCTGCTTTTGGTTTGGGTCACATGAGCTTCGTCACGCACGGAAGACGAAATCCTTCGCGCCTTATTCACAAGGGGAATTTGCGCTGAGCGTTGGCGCGGGAGTGAAGCGAGAAGGGCGTGGCGTTAGGATGGAAGGAGCTTGTAGTGCCTTTGTCTGGTGCGTTATTAAGACAAAAGAGCTGAATCCCCTTCAAAGCACTTTGTAATACTGCCTTTCTGTTAACTCCTGGAGCCAGCTGTACCCTTAATACAACCAATAATATGTTTAGAGTGTCAGCCAGGGAAGTGCAACGCCTTTTAACCTGCAGCAGTAACAAAATCTGGCAGTTGTCCTAAATAACCATCCTGGGGAAGGTTTATGGATGTAGGAAGTAGAGACCGGATTTTGGAAATAGGCAGGTACCATTTCTTTGAAGTGAATCATTAATTATGTGATAATTGAGACTTTTCTGCCATATAACTTCTCCATTTTCCTTTAGCCCCCTTGTGCCAGAACCCTCTCCTGCCGAGCGCAGAACCAGCACAGCGTGACCGTGAGCTGTAAAAAGCAGCAGTCTGAGAGGGGAAGCAGCAGCGTGCTGCACCAAGGTGGAAAATGTACGTGCAGAGAGGAGGTGGCTGAGAGAGGAGGTAGTAAAGCGTGTGAATACCGAGTGGTTTACCCCAAGCAGGTCTGTAGTTGGCTCTTTCAGCCCTTGGCCTGCTGCATTATATGTATTTTTTGCCCTTTACATGTAACAGCTAAAAGCTGGTAATGCCAAGTAACTTCAAATGATGACGCAGTCCTGCAGGGGTTACGGTGGAGTCCTACGGATGTTTTCTAGCTTTGCCTTTTGTCTGTTTTCAATGGGGTTTTAATTGGGTTTTTTTAATTAATCTGTAATTATAAACTGTTTTAAAGTCTGGTCTCTTCCACCAGATACTAAAACCAAGTGGCGCAGCAGCGTGGATTTGCAGTCGCCTCTCTCAGGTGGCTACACCGAGTAAACCTTTAATCTTTCCTTGCTAAACCACAGGAAGGAGCTGTTACCCTTGCGTTTCCCTTACGCGTGCGCAGCGTTCCCGTCCCTAGAACGGAGAACCTGAGCTGCGGCCTGCCTCCCACTGGCATCGCTTTTCCCTGCGGGAGTTTCCAAAGGACAGTTAGGATGTGTGACTCCAGCTGGTTTTCCTTCCAGGTGACACCCACAGCGTTTTAAGAAACACTGGAAATAACTGAAGAAAAATAAAGCCCCCCGGAAAGAAAAGCAGTTTATCCATGCTTGAGGGCTTGCCCCCTTGGATAACAGAGCCTGGAGTAATCAGCTGGAGTAATGCTGATGCTACAGACCCGCTGGTAACCTCTCGTGGGACCGATCCGAGACAAACCCCATTACCACACGGCAGCCTTCGCAGGAGGTGAACACAGAAACGCTTTTATTGGACCGTGGCCCTTCCCGGCGCAACCTTCTGGCGTCTCATTCCATCTCAAGCGTAGCCTGAGCGGATCCATTTTCTGTTCTCACAAGTGGTTCGTTGGTTGTTTTTAAGACGGCTGTTAGCTGGTGCCAGAACATCTTCTGTTTGTGTTCCTCGGGGCTCCACTTCAGGTAGGTTTTCCTTTTCAGCAGTTTCCTGAGTTTGCTGAACTTCTGCGGCACGCTGTTGGGCGGGAGGTCTTCCAGCACAATCATGATGAGGGAATCCTCATTTTCATTCAGGACACGGTGTTCGGCAAAATACAGTTCATACTGGCACCAGCAGCTGTTGACAAAACTGGGAGAGAGGACGAAGAGGACTTTGTGGCTGTTCTCTATGCAGTAAAAAATGTTACCGAGTATGGGATGCCCCGGTTTGAAATCCCTCTCGTGGTAGCATATCCTGAATCCGTCCCTTTCCAGTTTTTCCAGTAGATGCTCTTCCGTCCACTTCGCATCTCGTTCGCTGAACGAAATGAAGGCGTCGAAGGGCTTGTTCTCTGGCCTCTCCTTGTACTGCTTCCTCTTCGCCATGCACCAGTACCACCCCATTCTCACGTACCATGGCCCATCGAACCGCCAGCATAAGCCCGTTAACACCAGGACGACCAGGATGGCAACGCAAGCTGTAATAGCCATCTGGATGCCCAGGGAGCAGCGCAGGAGCGTGAGGTTAGTGCTCTCCACCGAGGAGCCCCGCCTGTCTGGCGGGAAGCTGCACTGCAGGTTTCCTTTGCCGTTTATCCGCACGTGGGGCTGGCGGCTGTAGACATTCACGAACCAGTACAAGTCACAGTTACAAAAGAAGTGTCTCCCTTGGACGGTCAGGACGCTCAAACTCGTTAACGGGCTGAAAGTGTCCTCCACGATGGTCGTGATGGCGTTGTCGCTGATATCTAACTCGATCAGAGAAGCGGGGAGAGAACCCCGCTGTAGAAAGGAGATCTTATTCCCCGATAAATTGAAGTATTTCAGCATCGGAAG